TTGAAGATAACTACGCAGTTAAACAGTGTAGTACATTTCAGAAAATCATTTGACCGTCTTCCCGGTTGAATTTTTAGCTGAAATTTGGTATGAGTAAACTACACTTAATGAAGAAGATGCTAAAAAAATTCATAAAAAAATTCCACCGGGAACCGCCCCAATTGGCGACCGCCGGGCAGAACCTCCTATATAAGGGGCTAATTGAACACTTTAAGTCAGTTCAATGGGCCTATTTGACCCTTTAGCCTATCTCGTTTGATCTGCTATATCTCATAGGTGAAGGTAAATATTTTTTACAATAACAAATAAGGTGCGTCATATCCGCATTGAATATTATTATCTAAAATCTTATAAATGCCAATGAAGGTAGGGGTTCTTTGGGTATAAAAAATGTGTTGGTGTAACATTAAGCTATATGGAATTGTATACTATGCTTCTAGAGTTGTTCCTTCGGTCATTACCCTTCCGTTATCATGTAAACGTCGTTGGTATACGAAAGCCTTCTCAGTTTGATAACAACTCCCTTCTCCATCTCTTCACTCGCGCTCTTCTCCATTCCCAAATTCCATATCACCGATAAATCAATAGGATTAGCCGCTGAAGGCCTATTTTCATGTCTGGGAGTAGATCTATTCAAACTCATGGCTGTGAAACCAATCGACGAACCAGATCTATTCTAACCGCTCCAACAATCAAATTTCTGATGGCCCTAAAATCGGTCTTTGGATACTTCTGCACTTCCGACACTTAGGAGCAGCGTCAATAAAGCAAAGGCTGGACCAACAAACTTTAAAGGATGGCTATCCACGGAGATGGAAAATCTTCCGCCCATTAACATCGCAGACAGTTCTATTGTTTCTGCCACAGATGAGTTTGAAATTTTAATTGAAAGCAAACTGTTTAGGTTCAACATTATATATGAAGCAAAGGGTGGGTCAGCAAACTTTAGAGGATTGCTATCCACGTCTGTGGTTTTCATTTAAGCAAAGTTAATTCCTCAACCAAAGGATTAACTAATTCTCCTGTGGGTAGGGTCAATATGAATGATGCAACCACTCTTGTGGTGGAAAGATTAATGGAAGCATATGTACTTGAATGTGGCTCCTTTGAAGCATAGTTCCACACTAAGGAAGAAAAGCTCATGGTCTAACATTACCACATCCAAGAGAGCAGTTCTATAATGATACATGGTATGTCTAAAACTCTAGGTCATTGTGTTCAGTATTAATTACATTGTCAAGTATATTGGATTATTGATTGAAAAATAAACTATTTAGTTGTTTTTAACATTTATGTTTGGACAATTTTTTTGGTCCTTGACGAACACCACTCCTAGAAATAATAATAGAAACAAATTGGCTGAATATGCTAAATGTGTTGAAGTTGCTGAAGTTTTGGGAAATATGACTTAGTTGAGTAAATCCCTTAAGTTATGATATAAGTATGTTTAAAATGTACTTTAGCAAATAAAGAAATGATGATATCAATAACAGATATCGTGTTCTCCTTTGTCAAACTCAGACTCAAACATACACACACTTCTTACTTATTTTCATCAGTATGCATTACAACGTGCGAATTAATACTTTATTAGTGTTTCTTATGAACTGATAAGCTTGAGAGGACAGATGAGTGGATCTGTGCATTACTCTTAGATTAACAAATGACACCGGTAATGTAATTTATCATGCGTAGGTTAACTTAAACAAAATTTGAAATAGAAGTGTATTTTTTTAAAATGTAAAAGATGATTTGTTTTATAAGTTTACGTTCCAAATTGTCCTTTAGTAGGTAGTTTGGGCCTGAGTTACCCAATCCTATTATAAGTTGTCTATCTATACATAATAACCATGTGTCTTTGTTTTATATTATTAGTGCAAACTAATTAGGTGAAATGTCATTCAATCTGTGTATCTAATCTTACGCAAAGTACTTGATCATCTAATTTTTTACGATAAATTGTTGTGAATCACCAATCTTAAATTGTTATTTTGGTTATCAGAATGACCCCATAAACAGGTGTGTGAGTATGTATGTATTCCCACTTTAACATGCGGATTCTGTGAATCCAAATTACTTTTTACAATGAAATAGTGATGCATTAAGATGGACTCTTTAGATGGTTAAGAAGATGTCTTCTAATAATTAAAATGTTGTTTTGTGTTCAAATGCCTCTTGAGGTCTTCAAAAGCTGATTGATGTCTTTGTATAAGTCATTGAGTATAGGACATGGCAAAATTTAAACATACATAGGGCGTAGTTTCTAACATTCTAATCCATGTTGCCTTTATATGAGTAAAAAATGATGTCGGGAAGTTTGAAAAGTATTATGCCACAAAATTTTCTGCGTATTGTTCTTTTATTTTGTTTAAATAATCATTTTCACTTAAAATAATCTATTTATATTGAACTGAGTTTACTGAACTAAAAGTACTTAAAGTAAACTATTTATATTGAACTGAGTTTACTGAACTAAAAATACTTAAATGTTCGAATATGAAAAAGGGATTTTAATATATAGTCAAACTCCATTGAAACTAGACAATTATATTAAGGCAGGTGGGTGGCACCGCCTACTCCAGATGGCGGGTGGTATGTCACAGTTCGAATGGAAACAGTGGGGAACTTAACAAATTTGAGTAATTGGGTTTTGGGATTGAGATTTCCCATTGCTAAAGCAAGCTAAGTGGGAGATGACACTGAAGGTTTACACAGTCGGGTGAGCCGATGAGGTGAAGAAGAAAGCATAATGTAAAGGTAAAAAAGAAAAGAAAAAAAGTAAAATATAAAAAATTATAAAACTTAAAAGTAAAACCTAGACTAACAACGATGGCGTAACCAGAGAACCCGTTGTTTACAGGCCAAATAGCCAAATTCAACGTTTTTTAAAGTTTAAGGATTCAATTGAGTGATTTAAAAGCATGAGGAGATGAGGACCTAATTGGAATGCAGTTTTTTTTTAAAGTAACCTCCTGAGAAACATATAAACTTCTTACAGTTGTCATAATATGGACTTAATTGGAAGGCAGACTTTTTCAACTATGGAAGCATTGTTAATACATAGTCATATCTTAAGAATGTTTTAAAACATTTTGCTTCAAGTTTTTCCCTATTGTTTAGTTCTTTGTTAGTTTCTTTTCCAAGGAGGCATTCCCCTAAGGTATAAAGAAGGAACCTAAAAGAAAAAAAAAACTGGTCAAAACCAAGACTCACAACTACTATACACATCATTCTTTATGTATTCAATTGTTTCAAATTCAGTTAGGATACCACCTTTCCAACTCAAGAACTTAGTCATTTTTCAAAAGGGATAAAGATATATTCAATGCAGTACCAGTGCCTCATGTATCCTACTGAAATCGTAGTTTGCAATTTATTTACATTGACCTTTTAATTGGATACTGAACACTTGCAGTATTTATGGCAGATCAGTTGTATTAGTTTTATATGATTAAGGGAACTTGAGGCCAGGAGATCATTTGTGCACTTTGTACAACTAATTGGCAAAGATGGCTCTCTTAAGGATTCTGCGGTTTGTTCGTTTTAGATTATCACATTACATGTTGTACTTTCTTCTTGTCTTATGAGTTATTATTATTTTACACATTTGATGCTTCTAAGGAACCTTGTGTGACAGTGTGAGTTGTGTCTGAAGATAATACTCTAATATGACACTTCATGTTCTTTTTATTTTGTTTCTATCAGGAATATCTTCTACTACATCCGTTCTCTTTTAATTGCAACATTGGATTTTTTCACTATTCACATATTCTATTTTGCATATGTTTTATTAATTAATGTATTACTACCTATAAATTAAATTTTAAAAAAATATTTTTATAATTTTAAATTTTCAAAATCTGAATTTTTTAATTTATGTATTAATAACGAATAAAAGATACTAATGGTCAATCCTATGCGTTGGCAAGCGTGAAATGTGGACCGTTGCAATTAAAAAAATAACGGAGGAAGTACTTAACTTTTTTTCTTTAAGAAATTTGATCGATTTGGTCATTATATGAGCTCACACCTTTAAGTAAGCTTGTAAAATTTGGTGACATTGGGACTTGAAGGCTGCAATTGGGTCATATTTTATATGTCCACTACGAATTTTTAATTTGTATTCCATATATTGTATTTATTCCTTGCTTAGAACTCACGCATTCTATTAACTCGGAAGCAATGCATCAAAAGTAGTGATTATTCCATGAAATATCAATCCCCGTATTGTTCATCCATCATGAGATAAATAGATAATTAGGTATTTTTCAATGCTTCAGGGAGTTCAGGCAATATAATCCTTTAACATTTAAAGCCGCCCTCTTCGATTGTGATATATTATGATCGCCCCTTAGTATTTCCCCCAAGGGTTTCCCATATTTCGTGTTTTAACATAAACCCATCACTTATTTCATCTGTATTTCTTGGTTTACACAACTCAAGTTTGTTGGGCTACAATCACAGTTTTTGTATGCAATCACATACATACGTAGTATTAGTTTAACTATCCAACAACATATCTTATACTCCGTATTAACAAAATGAAAAATTACATTGGGCATTTAACCATTTTTCTATCGCGCAACGCGCGTTTTATAACTAGTGGGTGATATATGACGCATTGCCTCTAGTGATATTTCGAATCAGTATAATATACTCGGTATATGGTCGAGTGGTGTATCAAGAAAATTTGATGTTGAAAGGTGTTAAATATGAGATTCCATCCTAAAGGTTAAATCTGATTGAAGAAGTAATATAAAATCTTGTATAGTGTTTTATTATTTTATTGTTTCCCGGTGTGGGAAAATTACTTTAACAGTTTAGCGGTGGGCTCACAATGTATTAGGGAGTAATATCTATACTGTGATACTACCAGCATTATTAATGAGTGTTCGAAATCGAACACAATCATCGAACCAACCAATGTTGTGATCAATCATTCTATCGGGTCTTACACTCTTACGTACGCATGTTGAGCCTGCTCAGGTGTTTAGTGAGCCCATATACTCTATTATGTACTACTCCCTCCCGATCTTTTTAAACTTCACAGTTTGACTTCACATTGATTAAAGAAATAAATTTGACTTTACTGTAGAGTACACTGTTGAGACACTGTTTGACATTGTTTGGCACTGTTGAGACACTGTTTGGCACTGTTGAGACACTGTTTGGCACTGTTGAGCACTGTTTAACACTGTTTGATGTAGATTTCTTTGCCAAATAAGGAAATAAGGAAGTGTGAAGTTTATTTTGGATCGTCCCAAAAAGGAAAGTTTGAAGTTTAAAAAGAACCGGAGGGAGTATACTTCAATTTTACCATGGCTAATTCTATTTACAAACACCATTTTGCTAAATACAGCCTCCAATTGATTTAGATTCCAATATTGCCCTTTTAACATAAAATCGATGCAACCATTTCACTAAATAACTTGATTTAGTTCACCAGCCAGATCTTAAACCATGCCCTTCAAGCTCTGCCATGGAAAGCGTTAAAGCCAGGACGGTGGAAACGGTTGTCAGCGCAGCCAAAACCAGCACCGCCTTCCTCATCTTCATCTCTTTCGTTTTCTCCTACTTTCTTTAGTGTTTAATTTTGTGTCTTGGTCCAAATTGTCTCTTCTTTTCCCATTCTGCGCAGATGGGTTGAATACTGATTCTAGCTTTTTGATTTTTTCCTCTGTCAGCTTTTAAACTCTCGAAGCCGCGGACGTCCAGGATAACGAAGACGGACCAAAACAAAGGCCAGAGGTTGCAGAGATAAAAAACCAGCACATACATAGAGGAAGCTCTCGGCCTAAAGAAGGCCAGGAGATTACGTCGGGGCTAGGAAGATGGAAAGGTCGAACGCGGTGTATCGGAGGTTGTCCGGGTGCAAGAAAGGAACTCCGGTTGGCAGGACGCAGCATGATGAATGGACTAAGGAAGAAATTAAAGGAGTTGTGATGGACTTTTATAAGCTAAGGAGAGAAGTTTTTGATAAAAAAAATTAAGGAGAGAAGACCCTAGTCTTCGGCTATGGCGGTGAAGATTCTCATCTCGGAAGCTGAATTTGGAAGCTGGATTTAAGTTTTGGTTTTTGAGTGCTTTGTTTATGTACATCTTCTTTAATGGAAAAATGGTTGTTATGGGGTTATGGTTTTCATTTACGGAGTATAACAATTGGGTCTTGTTATAATGGAGAATGATCGGGCTGGTGAATAAAATGGAGAACGTTCTGGCTAGTGAAATGGTTGGCTCGATTTTAAGTTAAAAGGGTAATATTGGAATCAAAATCAATTGGGGGCTGTATTTAACAAAATGGTGTTTGTAAATAGAATTACCCATTTACGATTTGATTATCTAAATCGTGCCGTCATTCTTATAATCATCATCGTTTTTTATTGGGGCCCCACACCGTGGTTATGGATCGATTTGTCACTGATATCATATTAAGATATGAAGTTTCATCGAGTCAACCTGATAGGGAAAGTACCAAGATATTAATATAACACTTTATTACGGAGTTCTTTACATTTTCATGGATATTTTGTAAAGCTTTTAGTCGGCCTTTGACTGATTGATTTTATAAATATGGTCTAAAACTATATTTTCATTTTCTTTAAGGGAAATTTGTCTTTCTTCTACATATATATTAACCGAATCAACCATACTATTTGCTTTTTTGTTATATATATAATACGAGTAAATATGTTTCTCTTCCAATTACTCGCACAGGTAGCTCAGTTGGTTGAGTGAGAAGGAAGTTGGAAGAATGATCAAGGATCCAAACCTGCAGCGGCCGTGTGGAGGTTACGGCTCCTTCGTGCTGGACTGGATCTCTGGTGCACACGGGTACAATGTCTACCATCATTGGGACGATTGAGTCACCGTGACTTACAACCTTTAAATCTTAGTCAGATCGGGGCGTGGAGCCCTTGAAGTAGGGATTCACCCTTTTGGAAGAAGTTTCTCTTCAAATGGAGCATTTTTTAATACAGAGTAATGAATGTGTATTAAACTATACGGAGTAACATAGAGCATTTTCGAACATTTGTTTTTAGAGTGTCTGTTTATATTTGAAATTGTAATTGATTTTAAGCTGTGCAATAAATATATAATTGTGTATAATAAATAAAAATAGGGAAAACTGTCAAATAGGTCCTCGAACTTTCATAAAAAAGTCAATTAAGTCCTTCTACAGGAGACTCTGTCCGGCCGTCGCGATTTGGGGCGGTTCCCAGTGGAATTTTTTGATGAAATTTTTTGAGCATCTTATTCATCAAGTCTAGTTTACTCATTCCAAATTTCAGCTAAAAATTCAATTGGGAACGTATTCAAATTAATTCGAAAACGTCAAAATGCGCAGTTATCTTCACGAATTAATTTGAATGTGTTCCGAATTTTTAGCTGACATTTGGTATGAGTAAACTAGACCTGATGAATAAGATGCTCAAAAAATTTCATCAAATAATTCCACCAGGAACCGCCTCAAATCGCGACGGCCGGACAGAACCTCCTATAGAAGGACTTAATTGACCTTTTTATGAAAGTTCGAGGACCTATTTGACATTTCCCATAAAAATAAAATGACAATCGAAAATCCAAAAATCCAGAACAAAAAGTTTAAATAGAAACCATAAACAATTAATTTGAGATCGAATATTACTTGGTACTCGATTATATAATTTAGATTTTGTCATATCTTGTACTTGGTACTCGGTGGTATATCATAGGGGTGGGCATAACAGTTTGGTTTAACCGAACCGAACCGTACCAAACCGAACTAAACCGAACCGAAACCGAACCGTATGCAATTTGGTTTTAGTTTGGTACTATTTCTTTCAAACCGATTAAACCGAACCGAACCGAACCGAAACCGATAAAAACCGAACAAAACCGAACCGAACCGAACAACACACACACACACTTTGTATTTATCTTCACTCTTCATTTTAAGATATAAATAAAAAATTTAGACATATAAATGCATATTTAAGCATATACTCGTATTATTTTAACTTTTACACATTTCAAAAATTCATTATGACAAAGTTAGCTAATACGACATATTTGTATTTATTATGGTTGGCGATATCAATAGCAAATTGTATTTATATTTCTATTTCTATTTCTGTGTGAGTCTTTGGTTTAGTTTGTTTCAATTGGTTTAGCAGGTGAAGGCAGGTTGTTTAAGCTAGGTTCTAGTATTTCATTTAGTTGGAATTTCAATTGGCAGGTTGTTTAAGCAGGTGAAGGCAGGTTGTTCAATTGGTTTGGTGAAGGCTGGTTCTAGTATTTCATTTAGTTGGAATTTCAATGAAAACAAAACATTCAAAATTACTCATTTACTCAAAGTGGATTGTAACATATGAAACAAGACATAATCATTTTCAAGTTTATAAACCGAACATCAAACCGAACACCAAACCGAACCGAACCGAATTTTTCCCAAACCGAACCGAAACCAAACCGAAATTCTTTTGGTTTGAGTTTGGTACTATTTTCCTCAAACCGAATAAACCGAAACCGAACCGAAACCGATAAAAACCGAACCGTAAACCGATTCGCCCACCCCTAGTATATCATATGCACAAGAGTTTGAGAGAACAATCGTTGGGGTTGTTACTGTATGCTTTTGTTTTGGTATTATTGGTGAAGGCAAAGAAGAGGAATTTATCTTTAAGATGTACACAAAATGTGTACATTGTCTGTGTACACAGGCAATTTGGCATCAACTCATGCCCCTGTTTTAACGAATTGTCTGTGTACACAGACAACTAGGAGGTTTTTGTGTACAACTTGTGTACAACTAATGTACACTAAGCATTTTCTTTTATCTTTTTAGCTCTTTCAGCAAAGATTCTGTGTTACAAATTTACTCTGTACATAATTTGTCGCTTTTTTGAGCAATTTTATGTTGTCAGCTGATGACATCATAACAAAAAAGATTATTACCTCAATAAAATGCTTTATAATTACTACGTATATTGGTTTATTTAATGGATTGTGTACTGATCTAGATGCCGTTTGGCGGTTTATTAGTCAACTTTTTCACCAAACACGTAACTTTTGCTTTCGCGCGCTGAATTGTGTAATAAGCAGAAAAAGTAATGTTTGAGTTACCTTTCTGGCTGTATTGGCTGAAGTTACTGTAGTCTGTAGATGACCATTTTAGCTACTCGCTCTGTCCCTAAAAGAAGTTCCATTTCGCTTATCGAGGGTCAACTTAAATCACTCTTAAACTCTTACTTTTTATATCAAAATTTTATAAAAGTTGAATTATTTTTTGCAGACTTTGTCGCGGGTTTAATGTAGTTTCTGAATATGTAAATTTTATTTACTAAAAATAATCCGAGTTTTCACAGGGATCATTTAACTTTATCGTCGGTCAACCTTCGTAATCCGCAATTGGAACAACATTTAGGGACGAAGGGAGTGTTTTACATATAATTTTTTCTTTATTTTATTAATAAAATACACTTTAAAAATAATATTTTATTAAATCAACAGAATCAGCCAATGCAGCCACTTCAGTCAAAACTTCATAAATTTCAACAGAACCAGTCAAATCAACAAACTTTCGTACTACCAAACGGGCTCCTAATCTAATCCATATCTAGTGTGGAGAATAAATCTTTTATTCAGTACGATTTATATGTACTATCTCAATATGTCATTGATTACTTTTCGAAAACCGGTGGGCGTAGCTCAACTGGTAGTGAGGAAGTGCCACAAGGGTTAGGTCCCGGGTTCGAATCCCGGCAACTGCGATGAAAGAGTACTATGCTAAAAATTCATAGGGTCTCTGCAAGTACCGGGGACGGAACCCCACTCTATATCTGTCAGATTGTGATTATAGTCCAATTTACATCCTCTCATCATACCGCCCGGTCGGTGTTGGGGGCCCCTCAGGGATGGGGTGTCATCCTTTTTTTATTGATTACTTTTCCAAAAAGAAAAAAAAGACTTCAGATAATGAAAATGTATGAAGATAGTACGTTGTAATATACTGACATAGCAGTTGCTAGTGATGCTTTGATGCTTTGGTAGTCGAATTATTCAATTATCTGGACTAATCCCTTTATCTCAAAGATAATGTTCCAGTCTCATTTTTCCATCCATCCTATTTATAGAATCTATTCGAAATGGAATCAATTAAGTTATCCAATGTACTATTTTATTCCTAATTATTTTAATATGACACAATCACACATCGATAAAGCCGTTCTGCTAAGAATGAGATACATTTTGTTAAGTATTTTCTATGTCAAAATGAATTTTGACACGAATTCGATAGGATCCACGGATCTATGTTAAATCTTGTATATCAAAATCGTTTCCTCACGGGCTATTCGACAGAACTCACAGAAGTTATGCCAAATTTAATTTTTTTTATAGTTATTAGTCCTGAGCTAAACAAGTAAGGCTATACTAAATCAATCTTAAGCAGTGGCGGAGCCAGAAAAATTGGTTAGGGGGGTCGAAAACCAACTATGTACAAAATGAAAATCGTACATCGTTTTTAGATAATGTTCGAATAGAATGTTTTATTTGTAGTTTAGATAAATAAGCATTCGTAAGCAATAAGGTATACTGTCTTTGCTCTGTTTCTGAATCATGTTACGTAACTAATGAATTAATTATACTTTATTCATAAAATTTGGGAAAATAATCAATATTATGCATCAAATTTTACTGATTTTACGTTTAGATAGTGTTGATTTTCCAAAAGTCATAACTTTTTACTCGTAATGAGTTATGGGGGCCATAATATATCAAATCGAAGGTATTTCAGAGCTCTATACTCTCAAACTTTCAGCGGGGTCGGCTGACCCCCTTGACCCCCTTGGCTCCGCCCCTGATCTTAAGAAAACGAAAAGTAAACCAACTCAATTAAACCATATTTCACCATGCCACACAATTATTATTATTATTATTATTATTATTATTATTATTACATAATATGGAGTAGTACAATACTACGTACCTTTGGCTTTGGTCCACAATTAAGTTCACACTTGCACTTTCATGATTTTCAGAAACGACATTTTACCGTTAATATATACGAACCCTGTACCACAAAATTATATTCTTTCCACTTACAATTTTGGGATGTCCCAAAAAATCCTCTCCATTTCTCTTTTTTG